CCCGGCAGAAATGGGGATCTCTTCACTCCGGGGAGGACTGGAGCTGCGACTACCTATTCATGTTTCGACTCATTTTTGTATTAGTCGACTCATCTTAATGACTAATTTAACAAAACAACAAGGGATTTCTATTTAGTTGAGTTATTCTTATTTTGAACTTAATCTTAACTCAAGGGCCAAAACATTAAATGTCACCTATGTGTCAAAAGGAAACAACAAATATTGAATCAATAAAATAAAATGCAATAAATCTAATAAAGTGCAATAAAATGGGAGAATGTCTTCTATTTTACAAAAATAATATAAAAGCATTTAGTCGACTAATCTTAATGACTAATTTCCACAAAAAAATAAAAATGAAAAAATAAATAAATAAAGGGATTGCCATTTAATTTGAGGTGTTTTTATTTTTAACTTAATTCTGAGCTTTTTATTTTGCAACTCAAGGGCCAAAACATAAAATGTCAACTGTGTGTCAAAAGTAAACATAAATAAATAAAATATTGAATAAATAAAATAAAATGTAATAAATAAAATAAAGTGCAATAAAATGTGAGAATATTTTCTATTTTACAAAAATAACATAAAAGCATTATAGTAAAAGTACTTGATTCCACTAACATTTTCCTATCAGGCTCAAAACCAGAACCAACAATAACAAAAGAAGAGCGAACCTAGTGGTGTGGAGGGGAATTACCCTACCTCATAGCAGCCCTTTGCTCAGATTAAAAACAAATAGGCCACAAGCAGGCTGATAAAACAATAGTAATTCAGGGAAAAAATATCCATAGATTAATTTTCCTGGTGGCCTAATGGCGGAAGCTCAGGTTTTAACTCGTGTGGAGTCTGTTTTGTCAGCTGGACCTGGCTGTGAAACCGAGCCCAGACACAACTGTCCTTGATAAAGCCCCTAAATGAGAGCCAGGCCTTGAGCGGGTTAGATTGGGATCTCAAGGTTAGCTGAGCTTTCTAAGGGGACGTCTGTGCTTGGCTCCTAGTTTAGAGAGGGGCCCTTTTTAAATAATTTCCCTCTGGGATTAATCAAGTAGTTCTGATTCTGATCGGTCCAGAAAGATTAAATAAAAGAATCCATTCCAATTTGCTGTGTTGTTCCCTAATATCCGGTCCCTTTAGCATTAGCATTAGCATCTCCTGTGTCCTAACCATTAAGACGGTCATGTTAATGTGAAGCTATCAGTAAAAATGTAATTTTTGTGGGATTATTTTATCTTTAAGGACGAAAAAGAGGAAGAGCTGGATGTAAAACAGAGTTAACCGACTACTTTCTATTCAGGTTGTTTGTGTGTTTTACCTTTTAAATACAGTTTACAATATTATTTGCTCTTTTTACTGTTCACTGATACCATTTCTGTTTGATAATTATAGTTTGGTCTATTTGAATAAACAGGTCAGTGTCTTTTTACCAACCAGTGCGTGTTATTCAGACTCCCCTAATTCAGCTGGCTAGTTGTTATCAGAGTAAGTCCCTGTTCAACATGAGTCTGACAATAAGTAAGTAGATAAATAACTTAAAACTTTAGTACATGCTCTGATAGGCCGGGATTGGGGCGTCGCAACCAGAGATTACATAACAAAAACTCAGTTTTTATTCCATTTTCTCCTCTACAAGCAGAAGACTGCTGAGCTCAGTCATAAATGGGACTCTTTTCTAAATCTGGGGACTGATTCTGAGCGCACAACCTGCTTTTAAACAGTCTTTACGGATGGATTTGAAAGACACACAGATAAAGAGACAGATTATTTCATGTAGAGCAAACTCAGAATGAGTCAAATACAGAAAGAACTAGTAGTTAAATAACTTTAATCTTTAGTAGAGGCTCTGATAGGCCGGGATGGGTGTCAGAAAGCTGGAT